CCGGGCAGCCCCGCGCCCGCCTGAGCGGGGCCGGCCGTCGGCTCGAGCCTGATTCTATTTCTCTTTTTCCTGCAGGTTGCTGAAAAGTGCCTTTCCTGAAGCCACCGCTGCTTGGATTTCTGTCTAGGGCTGCCTCTCTGCCCCTCGCCCCTCTCTTTTTAATTCGGCGTTGCTTGCGGTTCGTGCCCTGACGGCAACTCCTCCAGCCTTGCCCTTTTTTTTGTTCTTTTTTTTTTTCCCCTCCCCGTTTACACGCAGTTTGCTCAGCCATTTTATTTTTTTTTTCCTTCCCCGACTATGTAGCAAATATTTAAAAGAAAAGAAAGAGGGGAAAAAAAAATCAGACATCATTTTGCTCATTTTGATGTTCATGAACCGTAATTTTTAGAAGCAAGAAATAGAAGGAAAAAAAAAACCCCAACCCGAAGTTTTCTCCCCAAGGACTGAGACCATTCCACAAACTGAAGTGCTGCCAGCAGCATATGCTTTTTGCAAGAATAATTGAAACCATTAACTGGAGAGCACAGAATTCTTTTGAAAGTCTGCCAGTTATTTGCAAGTAACTTCGGCAGTGGCACAAAATATAACACTTATATTTTAACTTCTACAATTGCACTTTTAGGAGCTGGCCTCTAATTTGATTTTTCATTTGTTCTGATAAGATTTCTATTTTATGATTGGCTTTATGTTTAATTCTTGTTTAAACGAACACGATTTGACTTAAATGAAAACCTAAGTGCTGATGAATAGGAGTTCTACCAAAGCAACAAGTTAGTTATTTCTTCACATTTAACTTGAATTCACTTTTTTACCCTTTTTTTAAAAAAAAAAAAGAAGAAAAAAAACCCACGTCAGTGAATATTGCCCTGAAGAAGGGTGCGATTGCTTGCATTTTAATTTTTGGTTTTTTTAATATGGCTGTAAACGTGTCCCTGGTTCGTGATACAAAATGGCTGACGTTAGAAGTGTGTCGAGAGTTTCAGAGAGGTACTTGTTCTCGGTCTGATGCAGAGTGCAAGTTCGCCCATCCGTCACGGAGTTGCCATGTGGAAAACGGTCGAGTTATTGCCTGCTTTGACTCCCTAAAGGTGAGGACTGTAGCGCGTGCGTTACCTAAGCTTTCTTGCTTTCCTTTCTCTTCCAAACGGCTCGGCGTGCCGGGGTGTGGGCTGTGCAGAACTGTTCCTTGCTCTCTTTCGGCAGGGAGGAGGATGCCAGTGCGGGATGTAGCTCCTGAAATCTAGGTTGGGTCTGACATCAAGTGCGATTGCCCGCAGTGCCAGGCATCGCAGGGAGAGAGAGGATTTTATCCGGAGCGTTTCCCAAGGGAAGCTCAGGTCTGATACAGCTGTCCTCGAAATGGAGAATGCATGTTGTGGGCAGCAAATGAAACCGAAATGGGAAAAGTAGAGAACTGAAACCCACTGCTTTAATTTGTGTCCAGAGCACATCGGCTGCGCGTTCAGCACAGGGATCTGCAATGTGCTTTTAATGAGCAGAAATGAAAGCAGCATTTTAAGATAATGAATCAGCTTTATGTGTATTTCCTGGAGACAGAGTTGCAGATGCACTCCAATGCTGTCCTGTAGATAAGGAACAGCCAAAATATTTGGAGAGCAGCGCTCCCAGAAAAATGGGAGTTGGGAGAATGCTTTCTGCGAGGGATGTGCAAACACAATGGCTCTGCTAGGCCTGGCCCAGGTACAGCTGAGCCTTTTTCTGGTGCTCATCTCTGCAGAGTCGATTTTGCAGGCAGTGAATGGCCCGTGGTTGCTTGGCCCTGTTGGAGCTCAGGGGGTGACTTTCAAAATTTACCAAATACCCAGGGTTCGAGTCAGAGTGGGGAGATTGGGGGTCACAGGACAGGGAGGTGGGCATCCCTGTTTGAGGTCTCTTCACCATGGGAAAGGAACATCCACTTTTTTTTAACCCTTTTTCCCAGAAATGTGGCTCCTGAAAGGTGTTTTAAATAGGATGGTAAAAACCCCGAGACAGTATGGATAACTGATTGCTTCTGAGAACTCTTGGCATTGTGTTCAATGTTTTGATCACAGTAATTAACCTGTTGGAGTTTCTACAAGGAATCTGGTAAATTTTACAAGCTTAGTTGTTTTCCCTTGAACTTCAACTGTTGCTTGGGAAGATTTGGTTTATATTTATGAACATAATGAGTAACAGAAGTGGCGGGATTATGTATGCACAGGTTCAGACTGGGGCTGGATCCGGTCTAACACAGGTTTACCCTTTTTGTTACTGTTTGTGGCTTCTTTGTATTTTCACTCCTGTTCCCTGTTACCAAGAAGCTCAAGCTTCCTATTTGCATTCGTTTTTGCTCTTTTTAATCTGATTGTATGCAATGACTCTTTGTTACACAGTGACTTTCAAATGTTCATTTACATTGCTGGTTTGCTGACAGAGAGAGACAAAAGTACTGTTATTGGAGGGGGAAAAAAGCAAGCCATGTTCTTTATTTTATGCCTTGAAACTTATGAATTGTAGCCTGTGGCAGTGCAGATACTTTGAATTAAGAGATTAATACGTTTGCATTTTACAGCATTTTCTTGTGAACGGAAAGGAGCGCAGGGTAGTGTGGTGCCCCTTGCAGAACTTGCGTGATGTCCGCAGCATCCTGGGGAGGTGTCCCTTGTGCAGCCACCCAGCTTGGCTCGGCTCCGAGCTGTGCTGTAGCCCAGTGTCACCCGGCGGGTGATGCTTCCCCGTGTGTGCTGGTTGGGGTGCAGTGCCTGCAGCATGCCCAGGCTCTCTGTGCCAGCCCTTCTCTGCACAGCTGGGGCTGTGAGATGGGCAGGACGACGTCGGTGGGCAGCTTAGGTTCAAGTCCCACCCACTGGCACGAGCAAATACTTTGGCTTCAGCAGTGGGGAATGGGATGGGGAACACCATGTTAAGAAAGCAAAAAAACCCCAAAACCGAAGGAGTTGGGTATGATCATACAGCCCAGTGTGTTTCCCTTGTAACTGGCTGTTAAATAATGTTCTCATTGCAGTTTTTTCTTGACACAGTAGCAGATGCCCAGTATGTGCTAGTTAAGTGGCCTGAATTTTCCAGGGAACAGATTTGCCAGATTTTTGAGGCTTAGGAAAGCCTCGTGGAGGGCCGACATCTCTGCCTTTGGGAAGTACACTGGGAGCAGAAGTCAGACTGGGCAGAGCACTTGGCCAAGGGTTGATGCTGGGACTGTTTCTGCACCCCACTTGTCAATGAGAAGTGGGTCTCGGAGCAGTTCCCTCCTCCAGCCCCATGGCTCTGGGAGCTTTGAGGGCCCTGTGGGTGCTGTGCCAGGGAGAGGTGCGGTCCCCAGCACCACGGCCTCCCTGCGCGTACGCCACGTGTTTCCCGCTGGAGATAACCGCCCTGGTGACTGAACTCTCCAACAATGCTCTTTCTGTTCTTGGGCTGGAGCAGGGCTTGCAAACCCTGTTTGCAGCGGTATCGGGGGGCTCGCCGTCATCACGGTGGCCTTCCGCCCTGGTGACGAGAGAGGTTACGTTCTCAACCCTGCCGAGAAGAGGCTTTTCATGACCACGCTGTGGACATCCTTGTGCGCTCGGCCGCTCTTTCCCACACCGCCCCTCTCTCCTGCGCAGGGCTCCATAGCAGCTTAGTGCTCTTTTCATCTCTTCACGCCCTGCATTAGCAGAACATCTGCGTTGCTTTATTGGAGACAGGATATAGGATGCTCGCAGCTAATAAGTTTTCCCCTTGTCTTGCAGTCGCCCAGGGCTTTGTTCAGAGGTTGCTTATCTGCATCCATTGTGTAGTGCTGTTGCTTGTTTTATTTCTCACAGACCTCTTAAGCCTGAACAATGCCTTCATACAGGAACTTCTGATAACACAGCATACAATGGCTTCACCTCACTGGCCAGGTCACGCACAGCATCTATATGCTTGCTGCATCTCATTTTTTCCTTTTTTCCCCTCAGTCTTATATAGCGCTTCTGCCTCTGGTGCAGTGCTAAGAGCAGTAATGCTTCCAGAAGCAGTCAGGCTGCCCAGTGTGGGGTGGCTCACGGGTGAAAGTGTACCTGTAAGCTTGTGAAGAACACCCAGGACTCCTGAAGGTAATGGGGGAGGCTTCACGGATGCTCGGGCGGGGTTCACCAGAGCATGCTCTGGGGGAGCGCTGGATGGTTGTGCAATGCTTTGGTTATGAAATACTGAGCCTTGATTAGGTTGCAAGTGTGGGGCTGGATCTTGCTGTCCTGAGCTGTGTGGTTCCTCGAAGGGGGAGTTTGCACATTTGTAGGCAGCAGAAGGAACCTTTCTCAAGCAGATTGATACGAAACTTAAAAATAGTTCCTTGTGAGAAGCTGTTTGCAGATTTGAATTGGATGCCAAGAGAGCTCTCGCTCTCTGCTCGCGCTTCCCCCCTCATTATTCTGGAAGAACAGTGTTGTCCGAGATAATTCGTGTGAATGGAAGGGCCAGCCTGTGCTGCTTGGTGGAGGGCAGTCCAGAGGCACGAGAGCCAGGTACCGCTGGGCCACCCTCCTGCCGGAAGTGACCACGAGGCTGCTGGGCAGCAGCCAATGCTCCGGGTACCTCCTAGGCAGGTCCTGTGGCACTGAGATGTTCTGAACAAAGGAGAGGAGTGTGCAGAGTGTACTGTCATCACTGTAAGCCCCAGTGGCCTTTGGGTTCATTCCTCAGCTCTCCTCCTGGGCTTGGTGTGCACCGGCCCCTGCGTAGCTGTTGCTTTTTGCAGCCGTCAGCGCGGTTTGCTGGCTCCTGGCAGTTTGTACAGAGGCACTGGTGGGCTGTCTGTAAGCCCTCATCAAGTCATTAACCTTCCTCTTCAGGCTGGATCAGGCTGGTGCGGTAGGGGCCTGTCTGATTCTTAATTCCCTGGCCAGCGAATTGTTAGTTGTGTTCTTTATTTCTGAAGATGTCAGGAAGGAAAAAAAGCACCTTCTTTGGTCACTAGATATGCTAATTGAGCAGTAAGCAGAGAGATGGGTATCAGGAGATGGCCTATTATATAAAAATAGGCACAGGGGCTTTGGTTTATACTGCTCACAGTTTGGGGATCTGCACTTTGGACTCAGGGTTAAAAAAAAAAAAGCCCAGCTTTGTGAGGTGTGGTGGTGGTTTTTAAAATTTGCCTTATGAATGTAGATGTTTCCATATGCAAATCCAAGTTTTGAAGAGCATTTTGAAAGACAAGAAAATAGTGTGGTGAAAATTTCAGGGGTATGAATTTTGACTTTGGGGCGGTCTAATACAAAAAGCATCACTGAGCTATTGCGTGTTTCAAAGCAGTTCTCTTCTATATTAAAAAAAGGTGAGTTGTCTGTGAACAGGCATAAAATCAGGAGTTAAAAGTACAGTTTTGTCTAAATTGTCTGTTTTCTAAAAGAAGTGTTATTATCTGGTAATAGTATTCAGAGTCCCACGGCAATCTAAAAAGTTCACTATGCTTGGGCAATAAACGTACCATATGATCTTGAAACTGGTGTACCTGAGGCTGTTCCTTGTAGTTTTCATGCTAATTTGTACCTGGTTTATGCTGACTTCACTAGAATTATTCCTGACTGTTAGTGGTTTGCAACCAAATCTATTTTTTTTCTTTTTTTTTTTTTTCATTTAAATAAACTCCAAACTAGGAAACAACTAAAAACACCCACTAAACTTAGCATATGGTTACGATCTCACAGAGGAAGAAGAAAGCAAACAAAGCCATAGAGATATTTTTGGAGACACTCTGACTGCCTGTCTCAGCTCAGTGTAATGGAGATGCAAATAAACTAGATGAACAGTGTTGAGCCAAGTCACCTTTGTGAGAAACCTTTATTTTCCATGGTCATTGAGGCACATACCTGCGTAGATTGCAGCAGCTTTCTGTCTTCTCTTATGGCACCTTATAAGTGCTTTTGTAACTACAGAATGAAACATCTAAAAGCGGGGAAAATGTATTTAGACTTACAAATAAGAACTGTTGCTATTGTATTTCTCTTAAAGTAGAGTGGTACTTCAAGGAGAATAAGAGAGCTTAAATGTAAAAACAGTATGTAGGCCTGATCCCTTGTGTATGGGTTACAACAAGATCCGTGTTTCCTCAGGTAATTTA